CCTTCCTTCCTTCCTTCCTTCCTTCCTTCCTTCCTTCCTTCCTTCCTTCCTTCCTTCCGTCCTTTTGTGCTCTTTCTCCAGCTTCTGGTCTTGTTTTAAGCATCATTTTGACAATAATAGCTGGCAGGTAGAAGAATGGCTATCCCAGTCACCATATCAGCAGAACTGTGTGAGAAGGGTAGGAGTCTTCTCTCCCTGACCTTGTCCATAAAAGCAATGTGAAGCATTTTCAGTGTAAAGTGTAAACTACTTGTATTTTATTTTATAATTTAACTGTACTGTACTTATTATAAAAGGAATACTTGTTATTTGTAGAAATTGGGACTTAAAGAAAAATTTTAAGGGAAAAATTAAAGTCCTTCATGTAATATATATTCTTTAAGCTTATTCTTTATATCTACATATATATTTTTATTTCAAATTGGATCATACTTTCCATAATATTTCATAACTTGTATTTTCATATCACAGAATATTTTGAACATTTTTATCTAATTAAACAATCTCATAATATTTTAAATAGTTTTCATATATACATATATTATAATTGTTTTAATCCAACAACATTTAGGTTATTCCCCTTTTGTTCACTGTAACTCTTTGATGAACATCATAGCTACACGTATCCATATGATGTAACATATTTTTTAACTAATATGGTAGATGCGAATCTCAACCCACAAATTCAAGTGTACTAGAGATATAGCCTTCTATTGTGTATAACTCAACAGAGTTTCTGATTCTGAACCCCCATTCTACTAGGATCAGTTGGGGATGGGGTGTAAGAAAGGTACTTGTACTTAACATCAATCTCTTGTGAGCTTTCCTCTGCCTTTCCCCAGATTTGTACAACTCTAGAATCTTATACCCCAACAAGGCATCAAAGTGTGTGTGTGTGTGTGTGTGTGTGTGTTACCCCTTCTCACCAAAGAACACTTCTTTTCAGTCTTTTCAGTTTGGAAGAAATTCTTTCCCCTTTTCCCCCTTTTTGTTTCTTCAAAAATCCTGTCTAGCTCTAGAAATTCCTTTCCTCTAAAGGTTTAGGCCGTTAGAAAACAAATCCAGAAAGACTTGTAGACTCCTCTGCTTTGTGCCTTGCAATGTGCCTCCCCTGGGACAATTAACACAGAGCCTGCTTTCTGCTTGAATGGAGATAAAGGGAAAGAGGAAAATAGAGAGAGGTAGAAGATTAATATGTCAAAATATCCCACCACAAAAGTAAATAGAGAAATGCTGAACATCTCTCCTTAAGGCAGATGAATTCCCCAGAGCTAAAAGGATGCTAAGGCAAATACTACTCCATTGAAGGACCAAATATTTCTAGAAAATGCAGATACAGCCCCATCCTTCTTTTCTGAGTTAAACTCTGTCCCCAAAATACTAGAGAAAATGTTAACCTTGCAANGTAGTGATAAATCATAGGCCCCACTGCATTCAGCTATAACAATAATCTGTCACGGTCACTTTGAACTGTCTAGACAAGAAAATCAATGCAAAAAACAATTTGCATTCAGTATTGTTACAGTTATCTCTGATAGAAAACCAAATGCCTTAGAGATTATCAATAGTCATTAAAGCATACTAAAATAGAGATTGACTTACTACAATATATAATACTGAGTACAGGTTTTAAATGAAGAAAACAGAAAGTAAAAGTTATGACCTCTGAGTGTTGTTAGTTGTAGTGACATTCAGAGCCTATTCTAATACATTCGGTATCATTTAATATCTGAATGATATTCAGAAAAAAAATCTATTGGAATTTTCATTCAGATACATAGTATATTTTTAAATTTTACATTCATTACTTGTCTACTCTATTTAGATTTGTTTTGAAAATTTCTTTAAATATTTTTACAAACACTACAGATGCTGTTACAAAATATTATTTATTGAATGTAATTCACGAAATAATCTATTTTTACTCCTCTTTGAGAAATACTTGTGTTTTTGATACATCTTCATTAAGTGCTTTTGACATGAAAGGATATTTTGATGTTTTTATAGAACTGATAGTTAAGGTAACAGGTGTAGTATTTGAGGGCACTTTAAAGGTCATCTGTGCTTTTTCACTGAAATGCAGACCTGGAAAATTCCCTGGAAAGCAGATCAAGAACAAACTATCTGTTTTACCTGCAACCTATTTTGCATAACAGTAAAGCTTTTAGCTACTCATTCTCACTACCAGGTGGTATTTTTTTATAAACTGAAATGTTGACTTTCCCCTTTCTGTTGGTTGTTCCTCCCCTACAATGAGCACTGATGTGACAAGCAGTGACCAGGGGAAGGTAGGTGACAAACACAGGAGAGGAGAGGACACATCCTTGTTTAAATAACTGTAGTATTTTAGAGGTGGGATGCAATGGCCAGGGAGCCAAATGAAGTAAAAGCAAGATGTTTTCAAGACTCTGTTGGGCAGAGAGGAAAACTGCAAAACAACACAAAGGGGGGGACTGCCTACACATGGTCTGCAATATTTAAAAATATAATTATTTGTATTCTTTTTGCATTATGAAAAAACAAATTTTGTGTAATAGGTTTGTGATGAAAGGTAGAAATTCTGCCTAATTTGAATGAGTTTTTTTTAAGAGGGTAAGAATGTTCCAGTGCTAAACTTGACAAAACAGATACCATTGAAATGCTGATAAATTTAGTTTTCTTTTAAAAAGTGTTGAGGGGGCAAACATTACAGATTATGCCATACAAAATAAACCTATAAATCTGTTTCAGATCGCTAACTTGAGTTTCAGTTAATTCAATTTGTAATAACTATTAATGACCTCTGTTTGCAATAAAGATTCTGTAAATTGTTTGCTGTTGATTTTTTAGGGGTTAAAATATTAGTAGGTTTCTACTTACTCATACAAACATGAATTTAAATATAGTTTGAGACTGGGACCCCGTCACTATTTCTGGAATCCTAGAGCTCGAAGTTAGAAGTTATACAGGCCCAGTTTGGACAGTCCTAGAGTGCAGTGCAGAAGGCACCCCACTGGCTCTGACCTCAGTGTCATGCTGTCAACTGTGGCAAGAGGCCAGAGCCTAGTGATGAAACGGTGCAGGTTTGTCACAGGGCGGGCTCCATGGGCAGATGGGAGGAGCCTCACAGGCTTAGGTCTAAAATTCCCACCTGGCTTGATCCAGATAGAGACCCGTTTGAAAGCTACCTAAGGATCATAAGGTACGCCTTAGAAACAGTGTTACTCTTGTGTTCTTTGTACTTCTTAATGAAAAAATAGCCTCTTCTGCTTTTTTTCCCCCTAATTATTTTAACTTCTCTCCCTTTATATAAGAATGGAATCTTTATTTCATTTCTACTTTCTG